CGGGTCCGGGACACGAACCGCGGTCGACTACGTGGGAGTCCAGCGACATAGCCATTACGCTAACTGCTGGTTCCCTTTTTTTTTGAGAGAGAGAAATTTTTGTTATAGTGTGTGTGGGCTTCCCAGAGAGACAGAGAGACAGAAAGTGAGAAGTCACTCCCCCAGGGAGGATGGCCATGCCGCAATCCCTTCTCCATACTCCTCTTAGGATTTTAAGTACACACGCACATGTGCCCAGTGTGAATTTTAAGCATGTATATTTTTTAAAATATACATTCTGTAATCAAAAAAATCTACAAATTGTCAAGAAAGCGTAACAAAGTGTGACACATCTCAGTACAAAATTTAGTACCCTGTGACAAGCTCGTGACTACCATTCAATGCTTTCTATGAGGAAGGATAGCTAAAGAGAGCTGTCATTGTAATAACCACTATGTGGGAGTCCAGCGGCTAACCATTATGCCATCGGCTGGTCCCCATGATTTGCTTTTTTTTTTTTTTTTGGAGAGATTTTCGCTATAGAGCGCGTGTGCTCGCCAGACAGAGAGACATAGAGACAGAAAGCAAGAAATCACCCCCCAGGGGTGATGTCCACGCCGCAATCCCTTCTCCTCCATTCTCCTCTCGGGATCTTGGGCACACATGCACACACGCCCGGCGTGAGCTTAAGCCACCGGGTCCGGGACGCGACCCACGGTCAACTACGTGGGAGTCCAGCGACATAGCCATTACGCTAACTGCTGGTTCCCCCCATGGATTGCTTTTTGAAAAGAGCTAAATTGAAATATAATTCATGAAACCAGCAGGAAGGTATGCTGGTTGGGGCGCTGGGTTCCCACATGGGTAACCAGTTTGAATCCCAGACCTGGCGGCTTGCTGTCTCACTCTCTCTAGTGAGTGCATGTGCCCCATAGCAATTTTTAAAAAATCAATTAATTAATAACTTTTAAGAAAAAAGAAATATACTTCATACTCTCCACTAGCCCTCAGTACTCTGCCTTACCAAGAGACTTCAATTCTTTCCCCAATTATCTATTTACTATAGATATAGATTCATATTTTTTCAGTGGTTTATAGTCATTACTGAATTTAATCATGTTGGTGTTCAAGCTGCTCCTCTGTTGGCCAAGAGACCTTTCAGGCTTGATTTCTGAATTCTTGTAATATCTGAAAACACACACACACACATTTATTATTTTTTAATTTATCAGAAGGGAAGCATGCTGGCCCGAGAGTGAGACAGAGATTTTAATTTATCAGAAGGGAAGCATGCTGGCCAGAGAGTGAGACAGAGAGAGGGAGAGGGTAAAAGCTCCCCTCAACAAGGCGTGGTTGTGCTGCAATCTCTTCTCCTCCATTTTCTCACTCCGTTGGGATTTTCAGGCACTAAGCACACACATGTACCTGGCATGTTTCTCAAGCTACGAGGGCTGGTATTCAAATCACATGGTTAGCCATGTGAGATCAGGCTGCCTTAGCCACCAGGTTATAGAGCCAACCTGATATCAATATTTTAAAATTTTGAAATCATCTCAGATTTATAGAACTCTGCAGAGGAAACACAAAGCATCCTCATAGTTCTTCATGTAGGTTCCCCACATGTTACTATGTTTGCTTTATATTTTGTCTGTCTCTATTTATGTGTGTGTATGTATATATTCACACACACATATACACATTCCTTCTACACGGAATAGTCTAAGTGACAAATGCAATGCCCCTTTACCACTACACACTTCAGTGCCTGTTTCCTAAAAGCAAAGGCATTCTCTTACATAATCATAGTACAGAGCAGGCTGGCTGGTGCCGTGGTAAGTGTCAGGCGAAGCTGGATCCCCATGGAGGACTGTAGGTTCAGTTCTAGGTCACGTGTGGACACCAGGAATACATGATGGTTGCTGACTTGGAAGGCTAAGGGGGCTCGTGGTGTGAGACCCTGTTGAGCGTATTTGTCCTTCTCTGTCTCTTACTTTCATGAAGGAAATAAACCTGGGGCCAGCAGGTGGCATAGTGGTTACATCGCTGGACTCCAACATGGCCGGCCTCGCTTTGAGTCCCAGATTCAGTGGCTTGAAACTCATGCCAGGCATGTGTATGTGCATGTCCAGAATCCCGAGAGGAGAGGGACTGTAGCATGGCCACCCCCTTAGGGGGGCAATTTCTCTCTTTTTTTTTCTCTGTCCATCTCTTCATCAAGCTCATGCGGCCTCTAGCAAAAATCTCTCAAAAACAAAGTTAAAAGACAACCTCATTACAGAGAATAAAGTCAGGAAATTAACATCACCATAGTTCCATTGTCTAATCTATATTCAGATTTTGTCAATTGTCCCTCTGATATCTTTTTTTTTTTTTTTTTTTTGGGGGTTTTTTCCCTATGGGGCGTGTGTGCTCACCAGACAGACAGAAGAGATAGAAAGCGAGAAATCTCCTCCCAGAGGGGATGGTCACGCCGCAATCCCTTCTCCTCCATTCTCCTCTCGGGATCTTGGGCACACTCGCACATGCGCCTGGCGTGAGTTTTAAGCCACCGGGTCCGGGATGCGAACCGCGGTCAGCTACGTGGGAGTTCAGCGACATAGCCATTATGCTAACTGCTGGTCCCTTTGAAGAGGTTTTTGCTATAGGGCATGTGCACTCGCCAGAAAGTTTTGGAAATCCTATGGCCCTGACTCACTGCCAAAGTCTAGAATCTTAAATGAAATTTCCATTTTATTTATATTTCAGCAGAAGGGGAAACTGAAGGCCCAACCCTTTTAGAGGGACCCTGTTCAGAGTTAGTCTTTTTTTTTTTTTTTTTTTTTGTAGCTCCAGAGGCTACGTGCACATGCATGAGAGAGAGAGAAGAAGCACCTCCCCTCCCCCAACTTAGCCTGGTCATGCTACATTCCTTTTTCTTCCAATTCTTTATCTTGTCAAGATCTTGGATCTGTGCAGGTGCCCAGCATGAAGCCAACAGGCCGGGACTTGAAAACCCCAGCTGGCCAAGTGGGACCCAGTTTCCGTGTGCAGTGCCTAACCACTGCGGGACAGAACCGGCCCTCTTTGGTCCCTTAATCTGGAGCAGTTTCTCAGCCTTCGTCTTTGATGGCCCCTTTCCCAGTGTACAGGTCACTTATTTTGTAGACTGCTCCTCAAATGGGCTCATCTGATGTTTCCTCATAGATTCAGGTCATATATTTTGGCAGGACCA